TTTTCCCCTAATATCCACCCCCTCACCAGTCTCTGCCCCATTCCCCTCCTGCCCCTCTGTGCCCTCACACACGATTTGCTCCATCCTGACTTTCCTCATGCCCACCCCTTCTTTCAAACCTTCTCCCAGCACCTCCCCCTCCAGCCCCCAATGCCCTTCCCCCCTCCTCTCCTCTCCCAGCATCACCCCTCCCCCCTCCCACTGACCCCTCCCCTCCTGCCCTTTCCCTCATTGTCTGCACTTAGCTCCCTGGCATTTGTCTCTCTCTCCTGCACCCTGCCCCTTGGTGCCTTCCCCTCCACTGCCACTGCCACCTCCTCGCCTCCACCCAAGCCCACTGCCGCTGCCTCGCCACCCAAGCCCATTCCCTGCCTTTTGCCTTCCACATTGTGGGGCTGCAGGCCGTGCTCAGGCCCCGGAGGCCGAACCAGGAGTCAGCGTGGCCCAGCCACGTGCCTCCGAAGAGTTTTAAAATCCCGGGCCATGACATTTTCATCACGCCCGGGCATCCTCCCCGCCCATGTGCAACGCCGCACATGGGCAGCAGCAGGTGGTGAGGAGGAGCCGCGCACGGCGGGGACGCTCTGGGGGCGGGGTGGGAGGATACGCGTGGCCAACAGCAAAAGCTTTGCGCAAAAGGGACTTTTGCCCGACCGGGAGCAGCATAGCATTTCCGCAAGAACACTGACAATCTTACATGAGATCGTCAGTGTTCTTGTGGAAATTCAAGCGGCCAGTGTAGACAGCTGGCAAGTTTTTCCACAAAAGCAACTGCTTTTGTGGAAAAACTTGCCACTCTAGACGCAACGGCGGGGAGGCAAATTTTCAAGTTGAGTTGGGTCTGCGCCATTCAGAGCTTTGTACATCGGGAATTCGTTTGAGCAGCCAATTGTCAGCCAGTAAAAAAAAAAAGTGAAGGATGTATTGATGATAGGTGGCTCATCAACCTTGCACACAACAGTGTACAGGATCCAGGGGCTGGCATCTGAAGCTGGACAAGCTTAAACAAATATTTAACAGCGCAGGTCATTAACCATTGAAATAATGTATCAAGGGCTGGTGCCTTCTCTCTCACCAGCAATTTTTAAAATCAAGATTGGCTGTTTTTCAAAAGGCGATGCTCTAATTCAAACAGGAATTTATACAGGGAAGTCCTAGGGACAGGAGGAGGCCAGGCCAGCTGGGGTGTGTCTACATTCACACACTGCATTGGGGTAGCTGCAGCAGTGCAGCACTTTAATAAGGATACTCTAAGACTTTGTTTACACTACAGACCTTACACCCGCACAGTTGTCCTATTGCAACACCACCACTGTAAAATCTTCTGTGTGGCGACCCTGTGTAGTACTGGAAGGAAAAAAACTACGTGGATGGAAGGCAGCAGGTTCTTGCGCGTGGCCAACAGTAAACAAAATGTCTCGAGGGCCACATATACACAAACACACACTAACATAGATCTCTCTCTCTCTCTCACACACACACACACACACACACACACACACACACACACACTCTCATACCGACATAGGTCTGTAGTGTAGACCAGAGTAACAGCAGTCCTAGATCTACAAGGTAAGAGCTGGCTCTGAGAGATCTGAGAGGAAGGGGCGTAGTTGCTCCGCCAGCCCTGAATGAAAGAATGTTCTTGTGGTTTGTGCAATCTGGGAGTCTTGGATCTGTGATTACATACACAAAGGGCAGGGCTGCTCCTTAGTTTCCTCCTGCTCCACGCCTCCTACAAACTAAGCACAGCGGGCTGAGGGCACAGCCCATTCCTACATAGTCTTTTTCTAAAGCGATTTGATATGAAAGAGGCCCTAGCGATGCTGAGTGATAGCCTCCCGGTAAGAACACAGGCTTTCCTGAGCCAGGCTCTCGTGGCATTTCCCATTTTTACTCCACGGCTTCTGTATATAAAAAGCTGCCATTTGCATGTGGAGCCAGGGCACTTCCTGCTCTCGGGAGCACCCTGCTCACTTTGACTTTGAGACACCTGAGATCAGGGGTGGGCAATAAGCAGCCTGCAGGCCGGACACAGTGCACCAGGATTAGCTGCTGTCCGGCTGCCAGACACTTTATTTACCTGAGCATCTGCAGGTTCGGCCACTCGCAGCTCTCCTCCCTGGCCAATGGGAGCTGTGGGAAGCCGTGTGGGCTGCCACAGGCTAATCCTGGTGAACCACATCTGGCTCACAGGCTGCATATTACCTGCCCCTGCCTTGGATGTATTAGCTTCCATCTCAGCATCATTAGTATTCATGATAGTGCCTGGAAGATAGATCAGGGTCCCCTCTTGCAAGGGGCTGCACATAGGGGTAGTAAGAGACAGCCCCTGTTCCAAAGACCTTACAATGGAAACCGACCAAAGAAATGACTCCTGTTTTACAGGTGGGGCATTGAGGGCCAGTGACATTACATGGCTTGCTCAAGAAAACTGTAGCAGAGCCAGAAAGCTGAACCCAGATATTCTGCGCAGCAGGGCAGTGCCCCAACCCCAAAACCTATTTCCTCTCATTTGGTGAGCTCAGCCTTCATCCCTTGCACTTTTGGGCTGTCAGCTGCCTTCCCCTCTGCCCCAGGTGGCCTTCCAAGTTTTCAGAGCATGTTCCATAAGAGAGATTGGGGAGAGAGGGGGTTGTCTGTAGGCAAAATCGCTCCCTCCACCCCCCCCTGTGCACGGTGTCATTGCATGTCTGTGTACTGCTGTGCCGCACTGCCGGGCCCGGCCTTTCAGAGCTGCGCTGAGATACTTGCCGCTTCGTTCCCAGTCCGCTTTGGAACTGTCATTCCGCAAAGAGCACCGGGCACAGCGAGTTGCCGGATAGTCACTGCTGTGCCGAGGCACTAACAGGCAGCACCTTGACGGGCTGTTCTTCGGAGGATAGTTCGGGGAGGACGGATCGGCCCTCGGGCACTTGGTGTAGGTCTCTGTTGATAGGCTAACGCCTGGCAGCTCCTGTTTGCCGTGCGCACCTGAGCAGAGACCGGCCTCGTTGCAAATGGCTTCGGACCCGCAATCCAGCTCCCGGCTCCGCTTTCCAACGCTCAAACCTGAGCGTGCAGCCGCCCCTGCTTGGCTGCGGGTGTGAAACCCTCCCCCCTCTTCCAGAGGCAGGGGGCTGACCCACGTGCTGGGTGGCGAGTCAGTCCAGGCACTTCCACGCCGAAGCTCTCCCGCCGAGCGGCAGCAAATCCAGGTGTCGCTCCACGCCAGGCCCTGGGCCAGCCAGCTGGAAACGTGCCCGCGCGGTTCCAGTTGGTCCGGCCCGGCCGCCAGGGGCGAGATCTCGGGAGGAGCCGCGGAAAGGAGGCAGCACATTTCTGACCCTCGCCTGCCGCCTAGAGTTCGCGGCGGGCTCCCGAGCGCTCCGGCTGATCCAGCAGGCGCGGCCCCTCCTCTCCAATCGGCCGTGGGAGGGCAGCCCCAGCGGGTCCCGTCTATGCTGTAATGGCCGGAGGGGTCGTGGGTGGGCAGACGGGGAAACCCCACACGGCTGCCCAATAAAAATCTCTCCGCCGGAGGAAGAGGCTCATGTGCTGCGCCCGACCGGCTGCAGGGGCTGCTGAAGTTTAGGGCTCGCTCCCAGCCCGGGGGACTCGGTGTGCGCCCTAGCGCGCTGCGCTCCGGGGCTCTCCAAGGCGGAGGCGCACGGAATCTACTCTGCGCGCTGCTCTCTCCCTTCGGGATGCGGGGCCGACCTCCCTGCACTATCTAGGGGCAGCTCCTTGCTGCGCCCCCCGTCTAGGCGCTAATCTCTGCCCGCCCCACTTGTGCTCTTCCCCCAGCGCCTGCCCCCTCGCAGCCCCCCAGCAGCCGCGGGTCCCGCGCCCCTCTCGGAGAGGTCGATGGTGACTCTGCCCAGGCCAAGTGGTTAAAAGGTGAATCCGCCTCCATTTCCGCCTGCGACGGAGCCCTGCCCACCTCCAGCCCGCAGGGAGCAGAGGGAACCGGCGTGCAACCACTTCGGGCGCAGCAGGGCTGGGAGACGCCTGCAAAATGGTCAGCTCCGCCGGGGAGGTCGCAGTGGTCGCTCTGGGTAGGTCGAAGCCTTTTGTGCTCGTGCGCCTCTTGCTTTGGGGCTCTTCTCCCCCTTTCCTCACTTTAGCACCTTTCCGCCCTTTTGTGCCGCCTTCCCTCCCCCGCCACTTTATCTCCCGCTTCTCCCTCCTTCGGTCTCCGCTTCCCTCGGCTGCTCCCCCGCCCCCCTTTGCTTGCTTTCCAACCCCCTTTCTCAGGAGGCAAGCTCCGGACCAAGGTGCGGCCTCGGCTCCTGCCTGGAGCCACAAGCACCCATGCTTGATTTCTCCCTCTGGTTCCCATGGGAAGATCGCTCTGACCCCAGCCGGTTCCATCTGCTGCTCCTTTAAGAAGTGGGGGTGGAATGGCAGGATTAACTGAATCAGGGAGACTTGGGGGTTAATTATATAAGCAGGAGGGCAACATTAAAACCTTGTAGTGTGTGAGTGGGGGGGGGGTGCAACCTTTTTGGGGTGTTGTGATTTGTGATTCTTCCCCCTTCCCCCTAGATGCTGAGAGAAGGAATAGGGTGTTTGCTAGTCACCCATCTATAAGATGTCTCAGCCAGTTACATTTTCACTGCCCCTTCCTTGTGCCCTTCAGAGCCCCAACCACTTATGTCCAGTTTGAACTGTGTGTCTTGGGTGGCTTTTAAGTGAGTCTTCTCCCAGTCCTTTTATGATGAGGATTGCTCTGAACCAGGAGGCTGAAATGTAACTCTGTGTGAACCCTTGTGAATTGTCTTCCTCTAGAGCAGTGGTCCCCAACCTTTTGGCTTGCCTGGTTTGCGTGCCTGGGGTGAGGGCTGCACGTGCGCTGTGCACCCGAGGCCTGGGGCGCAAGAATGGGTTGGGCTGGCCCAGGTCACTCGGCAGGCTCACATAAATGCCCCGGCGTCTGCAGGCACCGTGTTGTGGACCACTGCTCTAGAGCCTGTGCCTGTCAACAAGCAGTTGGCTGAGAATTTCAAAAGCAACAGAGGTTGAACCCCTCTAGTCTGGCACACTCGGGACTTGACTGGTTCCGAACGAGAGAATTTTCTGGAGGTCAATGTTGTCTAGCAGCATTACCAACACTTCCACTGCTTGCTGGGCTAAATGAGAGCTCAGTAACAGCACAGAACACTGAGAGCTAGCACTGGTGGCTGTAAACAAACTTTATGGGACCGTGGGAAAGTTGGCCACACCCATGAAAAATTGATGTCTGGCTAACTTAAAATCATTCAGGATGACAGATGTTTCTGAATTAGAGAGGTTCAACCTGTATCTTTGGGTATCTTTTGAATGCCTATTTATCTCTTGGGCAGTTTGCCATTCATGTGTTTGCTTCCTTCTGGGCCTGGTTTGCACTAGATGATGGGCAATATTGGTTTAAAATTTAAACTGTGTAATTAGTGTTGGGCCATTTAAAGCAAGACCATGATGTAAAGTTTAGTATCTGCCTGCCACAAGAGAAGAGTTTTACATGTTGGCATGAGGCATGTGTTTCCCACGTGCACGAAAATGCATATTTATTTCCTGTGTAAATGTAAGAAACCCTCTGTGGAAAATTAAGGTCCCAATCCCATAAAAGCGTATCTACCTGAGCGTTTACATTGGACAAGGTCACCCAAGTCCAATTCTGCTTTTGGGCTAATGCCAATTGGGATTAACGCTCTTTAAATCAGTGGCGTGTCATTGATATAAAATGCTGAGCAGAAGTGGGCCCAGTGGATGTTCCGGATCAATAGGAGCTCTGTGCCTGGATGGTTTCCACATTATACCATGGGGGGGGGGGGGGGAAGAAATCCTATTTTAATAGCTAGATCTGTTCTGTGTCTGGGCCCAGTCTTACTGCAAACACTCGCCCAGAACGGGTTTGTGTCAAAAGTGCATTTCCACTGTGAGGAAATGCACCAGCAAGTTGGTCCCTACGGCTCCGTTACAGCATATGGAGCGGGTACCAGCAACTGCCTCCTGAACAGAGTGGGGCCTGCACAGCTATTGCATCTGCTACAGATCTTTGCCGGCCGGGGGTAGGTCATGTGCCTAGAAATCCCCAAACCCGGGAAACCAAGCTTTGGGCTGAGTGCATTCATCTGCTTCTCCCCAAGTGGGCCTGGAAGCTCTGACTCCCCGGCAGCTGCAGGGGACGGTTTTGTCATGGAAATGGCTGATTTCACGCTGGGCAGACCCTGCCAATGAGTTGCAGCACTTTACTTCATTCTTCTGTAGGAAAACTGTGCTTGTCAGGCTCTTGCCTCTCCTCTTGAGTATTATCACTTATTATTTCTATAACCCTGGAACTTAGGAGCCCTGGTCATGAATCAGACACCCAACTCTGCTAGGTGCTGTGCAAACATTGCCTCAGTTTACTTAGTTGTCAGGTTTTTTACATTCTCCTTCCTTTCACCAGGGTAAGTTATGAATAATTCAGTTGAGGTCAGTGAGAAAAAATCATGCTCTGAAGCAGCTATAGACGCTGTCAGATTCTGATACCACTTTACAGTGGTGTAAATCTGGAGGAATTCCAGCACCTTTTGGTTTTATTTCTGTGTTGCTGTGACTTTGTCTGCAGGAGGGGATTTTAGTCCCAGTATAGCTGTATCTATGCAAAATCTTTGAGGCTGAAGCCACCTCAGTGCCTTGAATCACTGCTGGAAATCTCCACCAGGGCTGACAAGCCCAGAGTGCAGATCTGCACAGAATGAGCCTTTTTGCTTTGATGGGTTTAAAAAAAATCAAACAGGGGGCCTGATTTTTTTTTCCCCCTCTCTAGAGCGGTTGTGGGTCAGCAGCAGTAGAGTTACGCCTGATGGAGGGCAGAATGGGGACTGGATGCCTGTTCTGCAAAGTACTGAACTTAACCCATACTCAGTTAAAATTCTGGATACAGGATGAGGGTGATGGTGTCTGGTTTGTCTTGATGGGCTCAGGACAGGTTATTGGTGAACACAGGCAGCCTGTTAGCTTCAGTGATAGCTACGAGTTCTGGACACTTCTGAAAACCCGTCTCTATGTGGTGTTCCACCTCTCTGAGGCCATGTTGTGGACTTTGTGTGTTTTATAAGGTGCATTGTGTAAGAAAGGAGTTTCATGCCAGGCATCTGTGCCATTTCTAGTTGGATCATGGTAGCCTTGTAACAAGAAAAGCCCTCTAATCAGTAACTTTCTTTAAAAGTCGAAGGAGAGGGAAGAGGATGGTGGTTGTAGAACTTTGTTAGCAGTGAAAATCTGATTGGTCTGAATTTTCTAGCTAGAGAAACTCTCTTGCTTCTATGTAAAGGGACAGTTAAAACTCTTCTGGCTCAGAGAAGAGCTTGATTCTGTCCAGCTAAAACACCCTCCCCCTATGCTCATTGTCTGCCGAGCATGCTGCAGTCTGCAGCTCTGTCATGTATGGTCTGTGCTTGTGGTGTCCCGGAATTTCATCTGCACCTGCTCTGGAAAGCTGGTCTCTAAGTGGGAGCCTACATTTATCATTCATAATTACAGCTGCTGCACTTGGGGCTGCCTTCTCTGCAGCTTCAAGGTAAAAATAGAATGGGAGTTAAAAAGAAACTCTGAGTTCAGTGAGGTTACCTGCTTCCCCCTGCGTTACTAGCAGACTTACCCTTACAGATAGAAAAGCTTCAGAGGGGTAGGCGAGTTAGTCTGTAACAGGAAAAACTTAAAAAAACAACACAGAGGATCTGGACTTATACTCCTGTCGTCTTCAGAAGTGGGTTTGGCCCACGAGAGCTCATGATACCATCTTCATGTTTTGTTGGCCTTTAAGGTGCTACTAGACTATTCGTTGTTTAAGTTTTGCCTTACGGCTAGGAAAGCCCCAAAACGGCTGCTCTGACAGGCGGGTCTACCTGTTGGTGAGTGCAGAGCAATGGAACTTCAGAGAGGCGCTGCTGGCAGTTAGTGGAATAGTCCAGCAGCCTCAATGAAGGAGCATTTCTGGGAGAGTTAATATTTTACCTGCAGTCCTAACTGCAACCCAACATTCTGTTCTGAGCTCAGTCGTGGGAGTCGTGCAGTTCAGAGAGGGTAGGAAGTGCAGGGTTTTCTGCCTCTTGCCTGAGGGAGCCCTGGTTAAGCTGTGGGGAGATGGGCTGTTTCAAAGGGAACTTGACCTGTTTGTTTACCAGGGTGTTATATGAAAAGCATTTGAGCTCTCCGGGGAACTCCAGGCAGGCGGAATGTAATTCCTCGCATTACAGCCGGGCTGCGATGGAGGCTTCCGCACGCCTGCTCTGGTGAAAAGCCCTGTTTGTTCCTTTGCAAACCGAAAGAGCGCCTTGTAGTGCGAGTGCACGTGCCTCTGGTGGAGAGACTGAGAAACCGCCGAGTGTGCGGCATAGGTCCTGGGCACTGCAATTAGAACCGTAGACTGAGATTCAGAGAATTCACCCTAGTCCAAATTCTATAGCAGTCTCCAGAGTGCGGCTGTCTGCTATTTTCTTGTAGCACTCCTGCTCAAATAAACAGGAGTAAAGCTGTTGAGGCTTTGGATAGTGCCTTGTATTTTATTTTCCACCTCTTTGTTGATCTATTGATTGATTTCACATAGCCATTGAACATCAGCTCTTTCTTGAGTGGTGACAGTGAATTCAGTGAATTTTGTATGTCTCGTTGGGATTATGTTTTCTAATACAAATTACTTTGCACTTTATTGCTGCTGAATTTAATCTGCTATTTTATTTCCCTGTACTCCTGCACTGAGAGATCCTTTGTAACTCTTTGCATTCTGCTTTAACTATCTTGAGTAATTTTGTGTCATCTGCAAACTTTACCATCTCACTGGTTACCTCTTTTTTTTTTTTTTCCAGATGACTTGTGATTATGTTGAATGGTGTTGGTCCTGATACCGTAACAAGGAGTGTTTTGTCTCAACGCATCTGTAATGGGTCCCCTCTGTTTTTTTCACTGTCTCAATTCATGTTGAAGAAAGGAATTGATTTTATTCTGCTATTTAATGAAACTTAGTAATTCCACTAACCATTGTCTGAATGCCTGTGACCGGTTTCTTTTAGTGCAGGGTACTGATCTG